GGAGTGTGTGTGTGTTGGGGAGAGGGGGGTGGGGTCAAAAGACAACTTACAATCCACCCAGTAGCCTCAGAGGGGAGAACCAGCACATTAAGCAAGAGAGAGAAATGATGTGGCCAAGTCTGGTGTAGGAAAGGAGGGGGGAGGGGGTGTCTGCCGCTGATGTTTGAATCCATCTCCATTATTAAGTACAGCCCATCAGAGGATCCACAGACAAACACCCTCTCTAGTGAGAAGCTCAAGGGCTGACTGATGCAGATCGGGTGTTTCATTAGATAATGTCAAGCAAATCCGTCATAGTATATCCTACACCTCCTCTTATGTACTGCAGGAATATTCATATTTTCCATATAAACAAACCCAAAACATGGGAATGAATACATCTGTAAAAATGGAAAATCTAAATATGTCTTTACTTCTCCAGTAAGCTAAAAATATATATAAATGGAAGCAAAGTTAAGATACTGGAGTTACTCTACTTTAAGTTCTCACTAGTTTTTCTAACCATTTCTTCCTTCTATTCAACTATCCACATTAAAAGAAATATAACCCAATAACTATTATATTAAATATGGTCCCTACAGGAACACAGTATAGAGGCAGACAAATCACTGTCCTGCCACATAAACAGTCCACAGCCGCTCAGCTTTCTTAATTAAGCCAATTTGTTTTTATTTGACTTTTTTTTTTCCTAGAGGCCTGGATTAAATTGGATTCTAAATGATCCAGAACCAATAGAGCAATCTTTACTACCATATTCTTAGACACAGTGCTTGCTAAAGTGTCACAAATATGCTGGCAGTTGGGTAATTTTCTCCATTGACAATGCAAGTGCAGTGGAGAGCCCAGGTTTCCCCAGGGGGAATGTGGGAAGATTGTAGGAGGGCATATGGCAAGAATGGGATGGGGTGTGCACCATGGAGCATACCATTTATTACAGAAAGCCCCTTGAGACAAAAAGAGAGCAAGAGAGTCAGAAAAAGAAGATTATTTTTTACTTCACTTGGCATTCCCAAAATTCAGGTTTTCTCTGGCGATTTAAGGGAGCAATATTACCAAAATTGTAAGGCCTTGAAATTATACATTTCCACAGTCTAATTATTACTTGTACCAAAGAAAAATCCTCCATGCAAAACTAAACTATAGATCACAAAATACCTAATATCCAGTATAAGCACTACAAGAGAAACTCTTCTTCAGTCGGCCACTCAGAATTAAGATTTAGTTTTCAAATAGTGATGGAATTAAAAAGGATAAAAGAGAAAGAAAACGAATTTGTGAGTGAGAAAAATAGCAAAGGTCTAAGTGAGCAAATGAGGTACCTAAGTTCACATGGGGGAATGTTTCTCAGCAGGAAAAATGATTTCCCTTTCTACACAACCTGCACCGCAGGGTGTTGTACACAACTTCACTGCATATGCCTCTCATTCAAACACATTTCCGCCTCCCACCTCTTCTCGTCTCTCTACCTCCCTACCCACCCGCCCCGTCTTCCCTCCTCCATGCTTCCTGTACAGTGAGCTGCAGGGTACTGGGAGAGAGGGAGGCAGCCAAAAAGCCTGATAACCAGGAAGCGGTCACATCTGGCCCTCACTAATTCAATTCCACACAAGTTTGCTTTTCCTCCCCATAACATAACCTAATTAAAAATAAAAAAAAGGAATTGGAGGTGCATTCACTTCCAATTTATCAACAGGGAGTGAGGCTGTCGAAGACTTCTAAAAAGGTTGGGTCTTTTTTAATTAAAATCAAAATTGCCCCACGCTACTTTGAATTATATATTTACCAGAAATGAATCCAACCGGCAGTGATTACACAAGCCCATATGGCTATCAATACCTTACGTTATTAGACACACTTGGGGTATTAGACACACTCTCCACCTTCTACATTACAAATTTCAGTGCCCCAAAGACACAGGTGTGACAAGAGTTTTTCATTTTGAAACTCTTAAACTTTGAGATATCCCTGGCTTTGTGCTGAATATAAAGTCTATGTGGACAGCTTAGGTTTCAGTAATGAATTTGAATATATTTTTCAGTGTCAATTAGAACAAGTTAGGATTTCAGAAAATAAAACTGTGGACTCCCATGTATTTTTAAATGCTTGTTAGTCTTAACTTCTTGTGCCGGTGAGGGGGGGTCATGTGTTTATTATCATGTCAAAGCTCCTCATATAAAACATAATGTTACCATCTTGATCACCTGTATTATAAATATGTTTTCTTTCATCAGTGTGTGCAATGAACTTGCAATCTTGTTGCTTTTCAAATAGTTGCTTCGAGGACAGGGTCTAAGATCCACATGCAGACAGTTGGTGTCTAATTTGACTGTGTCAGCTATTAGTCTCAGTTTGTGATTGAATGGGGTCAAGCATCAATGGCATTTAATGGTGAGCAATTAGATCAGTGAAAATTGCAAATATGTTGCCATCTACATACACAGAAATTCACACTAACAACTTAAATTGAGAGTATAGCCAGAACCTCATTCAGAAATCCCTCCACAAATACTGACATAGTTGCTAGAGATTGGCCATTTAACTGCAGACTATGCTTTTATAGGAATATAACCAAAATGCAACCAGTTGGCAAAACTGGTGTCTTATTGCAAAGAGATGCATCACAGATGAGTTGTGCCCAGGTAGACCAGCTCAGATTGATTGCAATGTGTTGCAATCTGTCTGTGTTTATGAATTAAAAAGGAATTCCATGCTCTTCGTAAATCTGTCTGAATGTGGCTACAGTCAGTCTGAGTCAGACTGTGACTGTTTGGAGACAGGTTTTCTGCTACAAAGTGATCTGTGCAATCACCTTGTGACCAAAAGGAGTCACCTAAAACTTGAGGATGTTGCACACTCAATCTCTGGTAAGCCAACAGGTCGTCACGCCTACTTGAAATCAGTCACCAAATTTGAAAACATTCACAAATCAACGATTTTTTTTTCCAGTCCAAGGAGGTTTTCCTATTTTGACTGAGCCATAAGGCTATATAAATAAAACTGACTGCCACTGTTTAGGGCCTGGTGATTCTGACTTACCCATGGCTTTGGTCTCCTCTCCCTTGGCATTGAGGATAGAAAACTTAAACTTGGCACGCACTTCACTTTTTGGGCAGCTAACCAAGAGGAGGTAAAGTGATAAATAGTCTTTGCTCTCCTCATCCAGACCTTTAGGATTCACACGCAAACACCTAGGGGAAAGAAAGGGAAGAAACACACTAGTGAGACCAAAAAAAGAAGAAAAAAAAAAGGACAAAGGGGGAGTATCAGTTCCTGGAAGTATCTGTAATATTTGTAAGTGACAATCTGATTATTCTTAGATGAAAAGTATTGGAAATTATTGACAATGATTTTTACTTTTCATCTGATATGTACTTTAAACGGTCACTTCTATGCTCCACTTCAGCTTTTAAATGTGTTTTATAATGGCACAAAAACGTCTTCCTCATCAAACACAATCAATTACTTAATCGAATTATGTTTTAGCCAGTATGAAGCAATTTCTCTTGATTTCACAAATTCTCAAACAAGTTGTTAAAAATCGAATAATGTCCTTATTCACAAAGCAACATTTAATTGAAGCTTTAGACTACATCAAAGCACAGAAACCACAGCAGTTAAGGCTACTAAAGATCTGCTTAGCAGCAGTCTCAGACTACTCTTCATGTCCAAAGCTATTGTCACCAAAACCCTCCAGTATCAAAGGAAATGATGCTCAAAAGTAAACCTATAATCTGTCTGGTGCACTATTATGTTACTCTGACAATAAGCCAGACAGACTCACACTTGTAACATGGTTTCAGGGACAGTGAGACAATACCACTGTGAGGTAACCCACTGCTGTGCCATGGTTGGTTAATGATCCCATACACTTAAACAAAGCCACAACAGCAATAACGCAGTATTATAACTCATAAGGATCAGGATCCGTCACAATTTGCAGGTTATTGCAGGTAAAATGCCAAGCACAGTTTGGATGAAGACCTGTTAGGTGATCACCGTGTCTATGTTTGATTCGATTCTGACCAGGAGGAGTAGCGATTCTTGTGACATGTGGCTGTATGGGAAGACTGACAAATCTCCAGAGGCGCTGTCACGGCATAAATTCATCAGATAAGCTAAAAACATATTTTGACATTATGACACTTGTGAATAAATAAAATACATAGGATTTAATATATTTCCTAGTCACAAATTAACCACGGTATGCATTAAAGGGGAAGATATAGCCATTAAAAGGGTATTTTTTTAACAAAGTAGGAAGCAAAACCAATATAAAGTTTCACTGTACTCACAAAAACCCAATAAACAACACCTGATTCTAATACTCCCAATCTCCCCTCAAAGTCTTCTTCTTTGCTTCCAGCGAAGCTACTTTTATTACAATGCACCTGAAAAGTCATGTTCCAACACCTCACACACGTGCATCAGGAGTTCCACCTTTGATCTCAAACTTGTGCAGACTTCTGTGTCAAGCTGACCCAACCTTTATGTCAAGGATTGTCACTACTAATACGAGCCATTTTCAGTAGAAGTACACAGTGTCCATGGTGAGATCCGTGATCAGCAGTAAGCTCTTTGGGGTATTTTCATTTTTTGTTAGTTTTTTTTGTTTGTTTTGGGGGGTTTCCCTTCCCCCCTGTGCTTTTGGGTGGTTTGGGGTTTTTGTTTTTTGGGGGGTTTTTTTAGGGGGACATTTAACCCAAGATCAGACCGACTGTTGAGGGCTTCAGCAGTAATTGAATAAGGAGCCTGAGGGAGAGCATTCAGTGCAAAGTCATGACCTGTGGTGCGTGTCAATTGTACACCAATGCACACAAACTGAACTTTGGCCACAAGCACAGTCATCACTCATCACCCGCCATACTTGTCCTTTCGATTCTCCTCTTCCACAAAAACAAATGCAAGTTGAAGATCTAGAATCCTTCACAGACGTGAAATTGGTCTGAACAGCAAGAGCATCCTCGAAAAAGTAGTGTTACAGGCGCTGCCGAATTTCACAAGCAGACTGGAATCGGCCAAATTGAAATGAGGGTAAATCCAGCAGAGTCAGTAGTGGTACAACGTAGTTGAGCAAAGAGTCTGAGCTTTCCTAATATTTCAATATGAAACCGCAATAACTATAAATAAACATCAGAAATCTAAAATAAATCACAGGAATCTAAAATAAATCACAGGAAAAAAGGGTCCTCAGCAATGCAACAGAAACCAGTTTCACAAAAGAATCATAGCTTTGTGTTTGCAACATATGGATTGTTTGTTGCACAGCCTGTTACAGTTTAAGTAGCATCAAACACTTTACCATGGCCATATGGACTGTTAAGCATCTGGAAACTGTAATTCTGGAAATTATTTAAGACAATAATATTTTACGACATTATATGAATTACTGTAATAATCCTGGCATCACGTCATAGTCAGCTGCCAAGTAAGTCTTACATTTTTCAAATTAAATAACCTCTACTTAAAAAGTATTATAAGGTAAAAGAAAATGAAAAGAAAAGCGAACCTGGCCTGAATTCTTAACAAGTTCTTATTAATTCATTTATGTTTGTCTCTAGTTTTTATTGTACAATTTGGGGGGCTGATCTGCAGTGCAGTGCACTGGAAAAAGATGCAACTGAAAAAGAGTTATGCTACAGATGGTTAAAATAAAAATAAATAAATAACAGAATCGTTCACCCGGAAACAAAAGGCTAATTAAGTCATCATTCTTTAACATGACAGTTTGCATCCAATTTAAACAAGCAACTTACATAACCCAATGTGACTACTGCATTGTTTTATCCCAGGACATAATCATTGCCTTCATCCCCCTAAAATATCTTTGGCCACTACATAAATGCATGAGATTTTAAATGAGTGACCCTGACTTATGTGGAAATGAAATCACTGGCATGTCATACTTAACACAAATCTTTGATGTGGATCCAAAAAGTACTCATCAGTTCAGCCATCTACGGAAGTCAAAGCATGACAGCCCAGTAGCTGTTCACTTAGCCAGTTTGTACAGCTGCACTCTCGGCAATTAGGTACATTTCCAACACCGGATGGAATAAGTCTGTCAAGTCATTTCAGGGCAAACTAGTACAAAATCAAATCATATTACTGCCTTCAAAAATTTAGTTTTGACAAGGATGGATAAGCACTGTAGCACTTTAAACATAACAGTTTTTTCTTTGAACATTTTTTGCCACACCTTGCAGGAATCAAACAAAGTCCAAAGCTACGATCTGGAAAATTCAGCGAACATTTATCTATTTTCCCCTGGTCAGACTGTGAATAATAGCGGACGAAGAATTATAGAGCAATTTTCTGTGTACCTAGCCACATCCTCCACATCCCTCAGTTCTTCCTGGGGAGTTGCCAAGATGTTTCAAGGAAAGATGGGAGGTGTGAGCTGCTCAAACTCAACCTATAATTTTAAACACGACAAGCAGGAGGGTGCTCATCTCAGAGCAAAGTCCCCTCATCTCAGAGTAAAGTAATCCAATTTAAATGTGGGTTTAACCTCAGATCAATTCATGCATACTAAGGTGTCATGCAAGAAGGTTAATTTTAATTTCAAAACATATGCTAATAAACACTGCAAACACAGACACGTTAAAAGGCACAGAGCAATGATTGATACTCCACGTGTAGAAGCACGTAGATCACATAGATCCAAGTTGAAAATCCTTAAGACGACTTCTTGAAAGGACATTCTCCAAAAGCACTCTTAGAGCAGGAATGCTGTACTTTATATGTGTTAGCTAGAATGATGAGACTTTACTAACCATTTGAGTTTGTCATTGGCTCCTGAGGAAAAAGTGGAGCTTTTGATGACCTCTCCCATCTCCTCACGACAGAAGCTGAAGTTGTTGATGGTCCACATGTAGGAGAACTTCACCACTTTGATCTGCATAGAAAAAGCACAGGATCGGCTGAAACCAGATCTCCTTTTTTATATATTTATCTTTTCTATATGGGTAAGTGGTCTTTGGTCAGCCAGGACTTCAAAACCGCACATCAAAACTGCCTTTCATCTTAATAAACACTGACAACAAACGAAGGGAAAGAAGAAAGGATAATGGAAAAGTAGCCATGGAAAAAAAAAAACAAAAAAACAATTTTGCAAGGACGTAGCAGAGATGAAAAAACAGACATCATCAATGACATACTTTATCTAGCTTTGCTCTTATCAGGAAAGTGTTATCTGAGCTAGTAAAGCCTACACTGCAATAACTATAACAAATACAATTTCATAGAACAGATAACCATTAAACAAAGAAAACATGTAAAATGACATCAATTTTTATTTAAAAAAAATAAAAAAAATAAAAAAAATTGGCTGGTAATGTAGAAGCCATCAGGGAAAAAGCATATCAGCAAGCTAGATTTAATATTGCACAAATACCAAAAAAGTAAAAAAAAGATTCACCATTAAAGATTAGCAAAAGCTGCACCAGGCTGATTAAAGCAAAAGATACATATTGTGTAAAACTGTTCAAGAACACCTTTATGGCTGAATTACTCCTCCAATTTAACACTGCACCTTGTAAGTTTAGAGAACTTTTTTTAACATTCAAAATTGATGCAGCAGAAACAGCGATATCGCCACCTTGTTAAAACACAGAACCTAGTTCACCCGCAATATAGCTCAACGTCTGACAGTTTATCTAGTAATCTGGGTGTAAATTATAGTAGTAACTGCTAATATAGCCTTGAGCCTCTAGCGTCGAGCAGAAATAAGAAGCAGGCAACAAAAATCTCTTACCAACAAACCAACAATGTTTGAAGAAGCTTGAAGCAATTTGTCAGACTGTGCATAGCCAATTCTAAAGCAAAGATTGTACTTTATAAATGATGAAGATAATTTTGCTTGCATGAATCAAACTGACATTTGATAATCTACGGGCAGAAAAAAAGAGCATCTCAACCTCCTGACTGCATGAAAGCATCCAACAAAAGGGACTGATTACCAAGTAATTACCAAATTACTAAATTCAGAGTTCTTCTGGGGTAGAATCAGATTATTTTGCTAAATCCAGCCAGGTACTGCATATGGTACTGTGCAAAAGTCTTGAGTCAGGCCTCTTTTTTTGTTATATATTGCCTCCAAGGAACCAAACGTTCTAGTAATTTTTAAAGTGGTCTTGAGCAGTAGTTCTCCTGGCTGGTTAATCATAGTTTCATTTAAAAATTAGCTGCTTTTTAACTTATTTTCAGACCAGAAAATATGAACATTTTCACCAGCATTTTTTTGGGGGGTTTGTTTGTTTAGTAAGTCACTTAACTTGACTCATTCAAGCATAAAAAAGGAACTTAACAAAAGGGATAAAGCAGTGTTGTATCTGCACATAACAGGAAAAAAATGGCAACAAAAGGTTTTTAAAGGTGCTCTGTAGCAAACGGTCAGGAAAGTTAAACCTGTAAAAAAATGCAGCAAAATCAAAACAAAACATTGTTTTACAGGCATAATATAATGTTTTTGCAACACCAAGGTGATTCCCAAAGAGCTACTGGCCATAAAAGTGGCCGGTCTAAAAATCACTTGCAGCCACCAGTGCTAACCCTCAGCCTCCTAGTGGAAACACCTATGGTATCAATTTCAAAAGTGACTGCATTCAGAATTTGCCCTGTGACCTTAAGATAAAGGTCACCGGGATTCAAACCACCTATTGGTACCAAAACTCCTATGCTACCTCGTTATGTTATCACATGGAAAAGAAAAAAAAAAGCTGCTTGTCCACGTTGCCTGCCCGTCTAGTGGGGATATAATAACAATAACTAAAAGTCATGTTATTCAGCAAACACCAGACACAGGACCTGAGAAATGTATTTGGTCCATCAGTTGATTGATCTACTGTTTGCTGAACCCTTTTCAGAAACAGTCTCAGTGCAAATGTGGCTGTCAGAAAGCAATTTTTAAGGAAGCGAAATGAGAAGAAAAAGCTGAGGTTTGCCAAATTACACAAGAACTGGGCTGAAAATCAGTAGCAAAAGGTCTTAATGAGTGCTTAATCCAAATTTCTAATTTTTATATCAAATCATTTTCAAAATGTTTTAAAGAAGTCAGAGGAGAGGTACAACACAACAACACAGAGGTTCTGTCGTCCTTTGGTGCTGCATTTCAGCCAGTGATCTCGTCAGAAACGATGGAATAATGAAAAGAAAATATTGTCAGATTTTGATTCATCATGCAATACCATCTGGAAACTGTCTGATTGGCAACAGCTTCATTTTTCAGCATAACAATGATTCCAAAAACACTGCCAATGCAAAAAAAAAAAAAAAAAAAGCACCTGGATGGAAGAACACACAATGGAACACACAACTATCAGGCATGGATTCACATCCCCAGAGACTGGACTTCAAAATTATCTAAACAGTTTGGGATAATCTGGAAAGCGAACAAAAGGCAGATGACATCCAAAGAAGATGTCTGGAATTTCCTGAAGAACTATTCCTTATAACTACTTAAAGACATTACGAGGAAGCTTGCCGAAGTGAGTTCGGGCTGGTTAAAGACAAAATCTTATAAATCCTCTAACATCTTTAAAGACCACAAATTAAATAACCTCAGCATTTACAAGGGGTGAAATTAAAATTATGGTTACAAAAGTAGTCCAGTAAAATATACCCCATTTCTTATTTCTCAGTTTGTACATCTTCATTTCCTTTTCTCGCATTTTACCAGAGTATCAAATGAAGAAGGTGATAAAGAGATATGAGGAGAGAAGAGCTGAGGCAACAGGCGTAGAACAAAATTAAAAATCACTGCTTCAGAGCCTCATTTAAAATTGATTTCTAGCGAAAACAACTATTGCCACAGGTGTGTCATAAATTGCTTCGTTATATCCCAACTACAGCTGTATTTGTTTCATCTCAGATGGTCAACGGTTTTGCAAATCAGCAAAATATTATTTATTAACTCTACTTTTTAATTAAATTAAAAACGTGGTGCAATGTGACCAGATATAGTTCTTTTGTTAAATCACACACACATAGATCATTTTCACTTCAGATGCATTTTAGGAATTGAGACATCCTTCAGCATTGTGTGCTGAGATTAATTTCCTGGCAAAAGGACAGGAGACACAGGAGACTGGTTAATGGCACTGGTTAGTGGTTACAGACTTAAGTAATGCCTGACAATCTAACTATAATATTTTAAGATGCATTCTGGCCTGATTACGGTTCAGTTTAGTAAAACACAAGGAAGTGAAACACAAAATATAAAAAGTCATGCATTACTCACCTGAGTATAACACCAGCTCTCAGCCACAGGACTGCTGGACATTTCTGCCGGTGGTGGGGGACTTGGTACTCTGGACATTGCCAGCATTGATGCTGAGAGCACCGAGTTGGGCAGTGGCAGCAGCCAGGGGTGGTATGAGGTGTATGAGGAAGGAAAGGTCCAATAATCAGTCAAGCTGGCTGCCTCTTAAACCCCTGCCATACAGAGAACAGCAGAAAGTTGAATTCAGTACAACAGACTCTAAAATAGCTACAGGCTCCCTGTAGTGTCACAGAAATACAGCCATTAAAACAGTTTGACTTTTAAAGCAACAAAACCAATAACTAAGAAATCTGTGACCTTGTGCATCCCATGTGTGTATGTGCCTCTCTTTGTACATGTCATGGCAATTCTTCATTAAATGTTTGGAATAATTGAGTGGTATTTCCCAGTAAGTAGGAAGCAAAGGCTCTGGATTTATTTGTTTTAAAAGAGTCTTTGGCAGTCAAAGCACAGCAGCAGCGTGCACTCGGCTTCACTAAGGGAAGCCTTCCTTTATCTGCGCGTGGTTTCGTCTTTGTTTTGCTTTGAGATGAACACAGTGCTGTGCCAGCCACGTGATTCCAGCCAGGCTGCATCCCATCCGCTGTGGCTGTAAGTGAAGGGCAGGACTTAAGACTTTCATCTCAAGCAGCCAGTCTGTACTCACAACACACACAAGGTCACACTTTACTTTCAAACGACTAAGAAAGGTCAAAGTTTTGTTTGATAAGCACCTGTTCCAAGGCTGTTTTTATTCCAGAATTCTGCGGTACAGATTTAGACTGTAATGGCTACATCACCTCTCCGCTTCCATTTGAAGCAAAGCGGAGTTTCCTCATTATTTTCCCATTCTAATTTTTGGTCCGTTCTATACTAGCAGTCTCAAATGCCTGAACATCTTACTGAAAAATAAAAAGGAATATGCACGGTTTGGTTTCAAAGTGTAATTTCTCTGCTGTCTAAATCTCTCATTTCCTCTCGTATCATTCCCTTACGCTCCTTTCAAGTTCCTCTCCACAAATTTCATACCTAAGTCATCAAGGTCTCAAGATCTGGCTTTTCTCACTCAACCTGCAAGTCCCCCTGATCTCCTGCCAGAGAAACCTTTCCACTCCATTGCTTAATTAGTGTCTGATTGAAAGAGAAGTTTAGGACCTAAGAAAACTTGGCAGAAACAGTACTGGACCAAGAATCCAGAGAGACAAAAAAAAAGGGAAGGAAAGGGGTAAAAAGGTAAGAGGAACCTCTGTCTCCTGGTGAGTGGATTGGAAACAGAAGAGGCGACACGCGGACCTCACCGGCTCTAGAACCAGACAACTTAATTAATGTTTAGAGCTAACGCCTGAATCTGATCATCTCAATTCAGTGCCCCCTTTTCTTCTTTTGTGCCACTTGTATCTGATGAAAACACTGGTGGCATTTTCGCTCAGTAAAACAATAAAATATTAATCAAAAAAAAGTCGGGAGAAAAAAGCTGTACTCATTTGCAATTTAAATTACCTGAGACTTCCTGGCAATTAATTACAGTCTATACGAGTGAGCGAGGGTGATTTTTTACATGCGTGTGCTTCCTCCTGTCATCATTCTGGTATTGTATCACAGTGTATTCAAGGCACAATTTACCAAGTGGCTTTCTTGTATCATGTCCCTTAAAGAGCACCATGAATGCCTAGTAATCACAGGAAATCAATTTAAGAAAACATGACAACACTGGCAGCACTGCTAACAGCCTCACAGCTTTCTAAATACACCCAGATGACACTTAACCAGAAAAAAGCTTGGGATGTTTTTTTTCCTTGTTTTTCATGACAAACATCAAGAGCAAAGCAGTAGGAGAAAAGCAACAATAACAACAGAGACAGAGGAGATGCGTGCTAATCATAGGACTCCCTCAGGAGAAATGTCTTCAGACAGTTCATTTGTCACAGGAATCTGAAGATGACGGTGTGAACGAAAGGAATGGCTAATAGGTGATAATGCATATGATGTAGGGAAAATAAATATTGTCACATTACAGTGTATGGCAGGCACAAAGACTGTGCTCTCCCAAAGGCAATTAAAAGACAAAGGAAAGAGGTAATCGAGGTGCTGTGGGTCAGATAAGGACTGAAGAATTTTTTGCAGCTACTTGGTAGCCATCAGCACTTCCAAGGTTGGATAAAAAGCAGTGAAAATTAGGATGAGGATAAGAAGTGCTTAGAAAGAGAGAGAGCAATGCAGAAGAACAGCAAACAAGTTCAGATTCTGCAGAGTATACATCAAAATTTCTCTGCCTGCAAATACAGCAAACTAAAGAACTAGACAACAGTTTACTCTTCTGTAACAAAAGCATACAAACGCTGTGCTAGGGATGCTGCATTGTGAAGACTAAATGACCTGTCCTTCTTTACCACTACAATTTTTGAGGGCTATTGTTGTATTGAACACCACTAAAGTAAGAGGTTCTATTTTTAAATCTGAAAAAATAATGTCACAAGCTCAAAGTATTTTCTGCATGGTTTTCACATGCAATTTACAGGCCATATAAAAATGAATTGAGTCACAAAGATGTCACCATCTGGTTTGTAAACTGCCATTTCGAAGACTCAGTTTTAGCATTGTGGCATTGGCTCTCCTTTGTTGTTTGTTTGGGGGTTTTTTGTAACTGTTAAGTTACAAGATAAAACTACAGAGCCTGGTTAACAGTGCTGCGATGGACTGATGGACAACATCACACAGTCACAGAAACCTGCTAACGCTAGGCGACTGTTAGTCATGAAAAAATAATGCTAAAGGTTAAATGTTCACAAAAATGTGTACAGGGGAGTTATTTAAAAGTTTGCCCCCGAACAGCTGTTGCAAAAAATTTTCATTTCTGCTGGGCATTTTAGCATAGTAGTCCATGGGGACTCATCTTCAGAGCAATTTGTCATGATTTGAGTAACTGGAAATGAAGAACCGTTTCTGGCACTTCTGCATGAGCCTTATTATAGTCTTGGATGTTGCCACTCTGGTTTTAACCCATTCTGCACTTACAATAATTACAGTTTAATCAAAAACAGAAAGTGCACAGTAGAAAAGAGAAAATGTTCTGCACTCCTGTCCTTCAACATCAGTTTTTGCACATCTTTATTGAAAATGTCATTATCACAACATCTTGACTGACGAGACACATCATTCCTGATTTTCTGCACAACAACCTCAGCACTAAAACCTCTTGCAACCATTCATTTTTTAACCTATGGTTCATTTCAAGAAGTCATGTTTTAACAAATGTTCTTACTTTACATTCACATAAGTGTCAAAATGGTTTATGTCTCTCCACACACTTACACTTAATGTCTCTCAACACACACTTAATCTTAAATGATATACAACAATTTATCAGCTCTTTGACATTAGAATTTCCTCAGTTTTTTACATTTCAGGACTACAGACAGTGAATAATTAGAAAAAGAAATAGTTTACAAACTACATAAGCAGAATAAATGTACCCTACAGATCAGAATTCAGTGCTATGTTGAGTTATGAGTGTAACTTGTGGGCTTCCTTAGGGCACGTCGTCATTTTTTACCTTTTACCTTGCAGAAGATTATGTTCAAGATGCCCCTTTCAAATGACACCTTAAAACCAAAATGCAGCCGGCAAAAAAAAGCATGGCACAAAACAAGTTTGATCTTCTGTTTTCTGTATGTATAATGCAGAAGTTGTGACTGTGTAGCAAAAGGAGTATAGGAGGATGGGCCAACTTCAATCCACATTCTCATCCCATGTCTGCTTTCAGAAAGGTAGCCCAGATGAGGAGAGTGAGACCTGGAGCCCATTTATATTCATTACAGAAAGACAGTCTGCTCTCACTCTACCAGTCCAGTCACCATCTCTCTCCATCTCTCTGTCACATACTTCAACACGCCAGGGAAGAGACTCTGACAAACCAAAAGACAGATAGATTCAACTTCTTCTGCATAAACAAGAGGTAAGCGAGGTGATGCTGCGTCTGCCTCTGCCATCAGGATGAGAGCTAGAGGCCACCAGCTGTCCAGACTGTTACAGCCCCACGGTATACCGGTACCACATCACTAACATGTTACACACTAAGTGAATACATGACACTCGGCTCATGGTGTAATAATTCCTGTGCTGCGATATTCACTCCATCTGTAAATTTTACGTGGTGATAGCATATTCTGTGCATATGTTACCTCCATCTGCAAATCTGATATTGTGAAGAGCTTACAATGCATATTTACACTCGAGGACACATTTCTGTTCATTTGTTTTTCCATCTGTGCTTGTGACAATCTGAATAGCTGGTGATGCACATCGCTTGCACAGCCTTCCCAACCTCAGTGTCAGTGAGAACAATGCATATTTAGCTTGTTTACTTTCAATATGTCTAGCTGTTGGAGTATTATCTTTACTTCATTGCAGGTTAAAAGTATTTATTGGCCTTCTAAAAAAATAAAAAATAAAAAAAAAAAAAAAAAAATCTTAACAGGATCAAAGAAATGCCAAGTTTGCCAGACATTTGATATTTAAAACATTTCCAATCATTTAACTGGACTTGCTTGGGTTTGCCAGATAAAACGTGTAGATCACCAATAAGATTTCCATGCAGGATCCGTTGGTGCACAGGTTAACAACCATGGTGTAGATAGGAAGAGAAATGGAGAAAGGATCATGTGAACAATGTTGTAGAGGTGAGGAGAATATCAGCCAGGATCATGAGTTTGAAGGTAGAAACTGAAGCGTTGATGCTGAATGTTCTTCGATGAAGAAATGCAAGTAAAAAGGAACAGGTGTGATGAGGTGGTGTTAGAGAGATATAGTGTTAAAAAGAGAAAAGCACAGATGGCAGAGAAAAGGATGGATGAGGTGAACATGCATTTCAGGAAGAGGCAGGAACATAGGGTGACAAAAGGTAGGGAGGACTGGGAAAGTACAGCTGAAGTGGTAATTTGCTAAGAAGGTGTACCCTGTGGACAGAGAAAAGGAGACTTGGCTTTGAATGAGGAGGTACAGGAAAGCATTAAAAAGGGTTAGCAAAGAAACAAGAGGGATAGTCAGGAGGACGAGTAAAGTAGACAGAGCATTGGGAGGCTAGGTGGCAAAGAGAAAGGAAAAGGTGTGTAGTGATTTCTATGTGAGGCTGGAAACTAAGGAAAGGAGCTGAAAGATGTTGAATATGGAGCTGCCAAGTAGGAGGAAAAGAGGAAGACGACAGAGAAGATTCATGGATGTGGTCAAGGAGGATATTCAGAAGGTTGATGTGACAGAGGAGGATGCTCGGGATAGGGTGAGATGGAGGCAGATGAACCACCGCAGTGACCCCTAAAGGGAGCAGCCGAAAGAAGAAGCTCATGCATAGAAATGCTGGAGAGTGCACATTATTAAGCTGCTGGGCTGACAGAGCATACATCAGTTGTAATTTTCTCTGAATTGTTAGCCTGACTTCTCCCAGATTGTGTTCTTTTAGACCAACTATAAAACTCAAACAAAAAACATCTTTGACAAAGAACATTTGCTCATATTGTTTCCTCAATTAGACTGAACAGCCATAATGCTAAAACCACTGAAAGTGTAATTTTCTGGGAATCTTCAGATCCTGATATTTACTTGGATGTTATTTGACATGAGGCACCCCCTAAACATCCTTGCAAATGATCACATTCCCATAGCAATGTCACTGGCAACAGCCTGCAGTACAATGCACCTTACCACACTGGACGGGGGAGAAAAAAAAAGAAAGAAAGAAAGAGAGAAAGAAACAGAAGAAAATGAGTCAACAAACATGACACAGTGTTGACTTGGTCTCCAAATTCCTGAGATTCTAATCCGATCTAGTACCTGCAGGCTTTGTCAAAACAAAACCAGTCAATGCCTTATAACCCACAAGACCCAAAAATCTGATTCTAACATCCTGGTTGCAAATACCACATGGCACCTAAGAGGTAACATATTCATACCATGGTGGGAGCTGCAGGAGGTGAACCTGTATAATATTCAGCAGGTTGGATCATCAGCCTATAATATCTTCACAGATCAATAATTTGCAATTACGCCAGTGACTGTGGCTACAGAGCCAGTCGTCCTAACATAACATTCTTGGCAGTCCAGTAGGGTACCTGTTTCAATGTAATACTTCACCTAATTAACTGATAGTTACAGCCAGGGACCACTGCTGCATTGCACATTTTCTCTTTATGCTGCTTCTCCTGTCATGGCTAAATAGTAGCAAAAACACATGCAGAAAAAAATATTTAGCTTTACTATCCCTACATATAAAATGTCGCTGTTGAAAAATTACAATCTACATTTACCATCACCACGAGTTTTTGGATTATGAACACAAGTGTAGGTGGTGTTCATATTCTAAAATTAGTACTTGTTCCAACATAATCTAATGTCACCTACTCTAACTTTACAATATATTGCCATTCTAAAGACAAACGGATCCTATTGTGGTTACATAAGTTATGTAGAGTTATAGCAATGTTTTTGTATGAAAAGGTTAAGTTTATCCAATAAATCCTTCAGTATGACCATATGGCAGGGACTTCAAGCAACCTGGTCTACTGTGAAATAGGAGTGACAGAACAAAACAACAAAAAGCCTTCTGGAATTCATTACAGCTATCGCAGAGTCTCAAAAACAGAAAATATATTCATTATACAAAAGAAAAGGAAAAACACATTCTACATGCAAGCACACAAACACACATCAATACACAATTAGCCTGTCACTATCTTAATTCCCTTTACACGGAAAATAAAATGGAAATGTCAAAAATATTAAGTTACCTACTATCCTCTCCCTCAGAGAAACAGGTGGGAAGGTGCTGAGACATCGCCACCAGGTGGACAGGGGGTGGAGGTGCGTAATTTGGCCGCTACAAAGAAAAGCCAGAATCACAGCAGGGATCCTGGAGTGTTTAGAGGGTCACCTTGTGCAACAACAGGCACAGAGCAAACCTGTGAGGTACACAGACGGGCTGCAGAGTTGAGAGGGACAGACTACAAACACTGAAAACCTGCCAGAAAACTGAGGTTAAGTGACAAAGTGCTGCAGACTTCAACGTATGTGTGACGCATTTCTGAACGTAAATCAAACGCCCACATGCTAGCTCATCTTTTCACAGCCTAGAGCCAGGCCATGTTCTTCTATCACCACCACCACAATTCTCTTTCCTCCAGCTCTGGTGAGCAGTCTGACAGAGGGTTAATCAAGCCTGTTCATTATAACGTCAGATTTCATAAAAAGCTTAGGCAGTATGTGCAGATCCATCTGGGGGGTTAGCAAGATTGATCAAGTAAAGTAGCTGACCCTCATTTCTAAAACTCACAGACAGATGGCTGGAGGTGCACATCCTGTCAAATAAGTACATGCACATGGATCATAAAAAAGGAAGATATTCCAAATATTCGTTATGAGAGATTCTGGATTTGTAGCAGAAATTAAGGGCAAGAACACTGAAAATATTTGAGCTTGCTGCAGGAGACACTGGCAGGCAAAATATGAAAAGGGAAGGAGAAAAGCCTCTCAGTGTTGAGAGAAAGAACAAGTCTAGATGTGGAGCATGTATAAAAACACTGTAAAACAGTGTCTGTCCATCTTGCCCGAGGCAGTGCTGATAGCCCTGACATTCACTCAGAGAAAGAAAAAGAGTGAAAACAGGGATAAGAGAAGGCCAGGAACAGTGGGCACACATGCATGACAGAGCTGAGCATAAATTCGTCAGCGGGTTGGGAAGACGCTGTAGTGTGTCGGATCCAGGACCGCAGGAGGTGTGATGGATTAAGAGGCACTGGCAGAGACAGAGGTCCTCCCTGAACCGTGGAGCAAACTCCAGCGAAACACCATCACTATCCCTCTCCATATCACCAGTCGTCTTCTCTCACTCTCCATTTCTCACAGCTTCCTTCTCTCTCCCCCCTTTTTAAATCACCTAAACTCTCCATTTTCACTTCTCTTAATCCTTCTCAAGACTGCTATAAAACTGAGCAACCATGCCTTACTACATACCTTGCTTTAGATCTACTAATTCACGTGGCATTTTCTACTTTAGATGATTTCAAACGAGAAAGGTATTACTTGCAGCTAAGATAACAAAACTACTATAATGCTAGCAAATAAAACGAGACAGCTTAGCTCAAAATATATCCCCAGCTGTACTGCAACACATAACATACCGATGCATGTACTGTATGTAGTGTATGTACTGTAAGTACGTCACAGTGTTTGCTATAGTCATACCAAGAAATAATTACATTTTCAATACAGTAAGTGAAGTCAAATCTTCCAAACTGGAGGAGTTCCAAACCTCCTCTGGCATCAACATCAGCACAAAAAACATTTGCTTGGAGCTTCATGTCATGGGTTTCCATGGCTGAGCAGCTCCTGTCGGTGTAATATACAAGTAGCCCAGTACGTCTGTGCATCTAATGTAATAGTAAGGCTGAAAAGACAAGAAAATAATATTTTGGCAGCATTTGCCCTTTTCCATCATCCTCTCTTAAATCCTCCCACTTCTCCGTCATATTCTGATCTTTACCAAATCTCTCCATTGCTCTTCTGTTGCAGAGCAGACCAGCTGCTACATGACTCAAGTGCACATAAAGGTTATATAAAGAGCAGCTTGTACACAATTTAAACTACAGTTAAAACGACTTGAGAAGTTTTAACACAATGCAATGCAGTCCAGAATTTACACATGAATTACAGGTCGGGCAAACCTGTAGGTGAGAATGTAAACATCTGATTCAGTTGGAAAAGTTATTAGATGGTTTTTACCCTCTCAGCTCCCTAGTATAAAGTGTACATTGTGTTTCCTGCATCCTATATACTCTAGAAAGGTAGCAAACCTTGTCTAAATCAAACAGTAGTTCAAATCTATAGCCAATTATCTCATGCTATAGAGTGTAGCACAAAAATGTTAAACCACTTGTCTTTTGTTTATTTTTTGTAGGAAATTTTGAAAAATGTGCAGTCAATGATTGAAACACATCCAAACATACATAGAAATATATTCTATAAGGGAAAAACAGACTGGTATGTCCACCTTTGTTTTTCAGCACAGCCTGATCTCTCTTAGCCAAGCTTTCTTCTAATTTCTTGAAGTGGTCTTCAGGAATAGTTCTCCAGACTTCTTGAAGGACATTGCAAAAGTGCTTCTTTGCATACCAACTGCCTTTTGTTCCATTCTCTGTCAAGATGATCCCACGCCGCTTCAATGTTGCGTGCTCATGTCCAGGCTCTGAGGAGGCAAAACCATGACTGATTGAAACATGTCACTTCATAAGACCAGTTGCCACCAATTTTCAAATAAATTCTTGTGTAATTTGGCATACCTCAGTTTTCTACCCATTTCCCACCTTTAAAAATGAAAGAAAAACTGGAGAACACAAGACTACTTTACGAGTGGTGGCTCAAGATTTTTTGCACAGTACTATATGTGAGAATGGGAAACCTCTTGATTTTCCCCAACACTATTCAAATTGTGTGTGTCATAACACCTGCGGTCTGTTCAAAGTTCCCATTTTTTCCCCCACATAAAGATGCAACGTGTGAATAAATATATGAAAGTGAATGGCTTGGTATACTTCCTTACACATGCCAACTGCTTTTCTGCCTTGTAGGATTAGAAAAATGCAAATTAATCTGTTTGCATACTGGCAATATTCTTTTCCCATATTTTGCAAACTCCGATAGAAACCATTCCAATGTAACATTTTTACCAGTCAAATCTGCAGGAAAGATAAAGGACTTCTCTCACATATGGGGTACCTTTTGCAAGTGGTACGGAAATATAACCCCTGTAAATAATGTGCCATGCTATGCTGGATTTTTATGGGCCACATCTCAAGCCTCTCAGTCTGCATTCACACAGTTTGTCCTTGTACACTTCTCCAGTGTGATCAATTAGCTCTATATACTTACTGACAACACAAGTGACAAACTAATACTCCTAAGCGTAGACACACACAAACAAACACACACAAAGACACACAGTAGAAACAGTCAAACCTGCTGAGAAAATTTGCAGCCCTGAAAAAATAAAAATTATTATATACTCTGAGACAGACATCAAATCATAGTGGGCCCATGTTGCCAAGATAACAGAGAAAAGCTTTTTAAATGACAAAATGATATTGGCTGCAGCAAGTCCAGAGGTTTTTCACTGTCTTCTTTTCCAGTGCCCAAAGCAAAGTCTGTCTTACTATCGAAACAAAAATCTTCTTTTGGCAATGTATTTCTTCTAAACTAAACTGATACAAACATCATTTGTATAACGTTTTCATACACTCACTGAGGCAAGGCTTCATTCAGCTTCACCAACTGTTCTCTTACATATAACTCTCCCTCTTTAATTTCTGCCCAGCAGAGGCTCTCCGCATGAAGTTTCAGTCTCGTGAAGTGAGCTGAGCTTGAAGCAAAAGGGAGGAGTGAATGGAGAGAGGCAGAGTTGTTTTGTTACCGCACTCGGTGCAATGATGCAATTTATAATTAAAATGCAAATGGAACGACAGGGAGTCTCTCTTCACCTTGTTTTCACTTTACTCCAACATTCTCAGGGGAGGCTGATCTCTGCCCGGGATCTATGTATCCAAGTCAGTAAATCAATTTTATATGAAGCACCGAAATCAATTTGAGACTTAGGCTATACAAAAACTCAAGTACAAGACACTGTTTAGCTGAGAAAAAAAAAAAACTTGAGATGCATAGATGGACACATCCAGCCTGTGGCTATAAAAACAGTCTTTTGCTTTGCTATGATGATGTGAGGGATTTTAAAAAGCTCAAATCCCTAAATTGAAAACTAAAAGCAATTATTCAGCAACAAGAAAACACAGACCTGTCTGACACGTCCACCACTGACCTGTCTCTGTTTTGACTATAGCTTATCACAAAAGGTGGTTCAAGCATCCCCTAAGCTTTAATCTCAACAAACAACAAAGATAAACACTGTGGAATGAATCATTTGAGAAAGTTTTATATCAAAAGTGTGCCTGACAGAGAAAACGATGGAGAGGAGGCCTTTTTTAGTGGTTGTCCTTCAGCATGACTTTGTCATGTAACACATTTCCAGCTCAATTATCTGCATCCAGTGGATTTCAAACACATTTAGCAAGGACCAGAGAGCTTGGTAATTAGCAGGATCCCTGGCTCATAAGGGGACCAAAAACAAAGCCTGTCTTTAGCTCTATCTTTATCCCCTTCGTTTGTCTAATCTCTTCTTATCCTTCTCTTTTCACAAAGGGTGTTGGACATCATGTATGCACTCTGTCAGTTTCTTTGTATGCCAACAGGTTTCAGCTTTTCTGGACCAAAGCATTATGCAAAATGAGAAACTTGGAGTAGGCCTGAAAATTAGTAAACGGGGACTATTAAATTGTATCCCACATAAAACAAATTCAATTTAAAAAAACAAAAAACCTATATATTGAATTACTCTCCACTTCGTTGTTAGGTACACTTTACAAATACTGGACCCCTTTTGCCTTAACAGGTTCCCTAATTATTTATGGCACAGATTCAACAAGATGCTAGAAGCATTCCTCAGAGATTTTGGTACATATTAACACAATAGCTTATAAAGATTTGTCAGCTACACATCCATGATCCAAATCTCCAATTACCAGTACGATCTATGGACTGTGGAGGCCATCACGGTCATATTCAAGAAACCAGTTTGAGCCATTTGCACCCATCAGAAGATGGTTACACTCGGGTCATAAAGGGATGGAGATGGTCAGCAACAATACTCAAGACAGACTGTAGCATTTAAACGATGCTCAATTGGTACCAACAGCCCCAAAGCCTGTCATCAAAAATATCCCACTGAACCACTGATGGAAGGCAGGATTGATCCATGATGATGTTTACAGCATTTTCTGACCCTACCACCAAAAATCTGAGACCTTTGCATTCTTCTATTGTCCAATTTCTATGCAAATTTAGCCTGTTTTCCTGTTGTTAGCTGGCAGGAATGGCACCCAGTGTGGTCTCCTGGTGCTGTAGTCCATGTGTTTCAAGGGTTGATATCTTGTGCATTCAGACACACTCTTCTGCATACCTTGGGGTGATGAGTGAGTTTGTAAGTGACAGAGTCTGTCTCAAGTTCAGAGGAGAGTGGCCAAACTACCTTTCTCCTGTGAACTCTGATGTCAAACAGGCATTTTGATCCAGAGAACTATTGCCCACAGTATATTTTCTCAATTTCATACCCTTCTCTGTAAACCGTAGAGAATGTTGTGTGGAAACTTCCGAGGAGATCAGCATTTTCTGAAATACTCAGACTAGCCAGTCTGCCACCAATAACCATGACACATTCAAAGTCACTTAAATCACTTTGTCCTCCATTCTGATGCTCGGTTTAGACTTCCCTAGGCTGTCTGAATCATGTCTACACGCTGTTGGTGACTGGTCGATCAGTTATTTAAGTAAAAGAGCAATTTAAAAAGGTGTAACTAATAAAGTGCCAGGTGACTATACTCACAGGACCCTGTAGCATAGCACAGAATGTCATGTGCAATGAAACAAAACTTAACAGACCTCCAAATGCAGCATTGTGTAAACTACAAGGAGTATTGAATATCTGATAAAATATACAGCCTGAACTATTCCTACAAACTTGATAAAGTACCAATTACTACTGTGCAATTCTGATTTACAGATTTCATGACATTGTTAAAACTCAAGGTATTAAAGTTAAGACCATAGCACACCCACTTTCCATTTTTTGTTTCCCTTTTAATTATGGCTTGAAATCCAAGCAACTTTGTGCATCTCCAAACATTCATAAGATTTAATTTCAGCAAGGAATAATTTCATTATCCTTAACAATGTTCACTATGGTGCTCTGTCTAGATTGGCTGCCTATGCTTGCATTTAGTAGCTTTGAGTTTGAATTCAATGACAATTATACTTTTAAGTACCATAAAGCTACAAATAATCCTCTTTCAGAAAAAAAAAATAAAGCAGATTCAGGGGTTTGCTAGCAATTTTAAGATAACAGTGGTGGGCTACATATACAGTAATGATTCCAAAATCTCACAGTAAACTACCGAGAGCTTAAAATATTTACTATGTAGAAACAGTGGTGTAGGAAGGAAGCAATTTCAGGCACAATGAGATTTTCTGCCGTTTTTTTCCCATTTATTTCCTCCTTCCCATTCCCTCCTTACTCTCCAACAATTATAATGACGAACTGTGCCGGCAGCAGTACAAGTTACTGAATTTGTGGGATGTCATCCTCAACAGAGCCGTGTGTCTGCAGAGTAAAAGAACAATGACAACACATCATGTGAATCCACTGATATTGGATTGGGGGGGGAAAAAAATAAAATATTGTAGAATTTTGAAAGCATGTCTTCAAATACCAAGTGCCATTGACCATTCACCAATTTATCTTTTCTTCTTGTATTGCTCTCACACAAAAAAAAAAAAAAAAAAATCTGTGAAAACCATCAATGAAGCAAATATTAATGTAAAGTATGAACGTCTTTTTGTAAAGTACATCGATCCCTACTGCTGTCTTTCCATTAGCATTACAAAGGACATAAATCCCAGTTGGATACACACCAACACACCCACACCCAAGGAGTCAATTAAGTTCAACTGTTCGCTTAATGTGTCATACTGTCACATCACTGTGCAGCAATATTGGGATCAAGGGTGCTCTAATGTCCTCGATGGTCAACGCTGGGATTCTTTCACACTACCACTCGTCTTTACCTTGGGGAACAATATTCCTGCTTCTTACCAGATGTCATCTCTAATCTCCTTCTGCCTGAAGAAGTGAACAATAGAGACCATTCAGGACCAACCACTGAAGCAGGCAGTTAAAAGTACAGGGTCACCATAAGCAGTGGTCAGGGGTAATCTTTTCTTGAGACTGTCCTCACAAAATAACAATGGAAAGTAGTACAATTGGGGCCCAAGAACAATTCAACAAATGTTAACAAGAACTGTCCAAGACTGTGTAGCTCAACCAAGGCTAAAAACTACTGCCAAACCATGAATGATTTGAGTCCCAGAAAGATATCTGGATGA